CTACTTCAAAGAACTGGTACATTACAGTATACTACTTGTGTTCAGGTATCCTTTAAGTGGTACAACGCATATGTGATGTGTGATTTTGAAATGTCTGGCCAGTTCTTATACTACTTTTTAGCAAATTTATGCCACAAATAGCAGTCTAAATATAAATGAAGGACTGATATGAAACACCTGACTAGTCTGGCTAGACGTTTGACACCCTGTAAGCTAAAAACGTTAAGGGAAAAGAGAGAACAGTAAACAAGACCCCAAATGTATAGATTTGGGATAAAAAAGCCTAAACAAAAGTAAAAGTAAGTTACTAATTTACTAGTTTCAAGTCTCCAACAGTCTAACCCAGGTATAAATTCAATAAAAAAAATCCTTTAATGCATTAAAACAGCTGTTATACATACCAGATTTCCTGCTGTAGTGTCCTCTTATGGAAACGTATGGAAAGTCAGCAGTGTGAACTAGTCAGGTGCATTGAATAGTTTTGATAGTCTAAATCCTAGAAACCTGCTAAGAGGATGCAAGATGGCCTAATGAATGTGACATTGCTCTGCATCCAGTTATCTGGCTTGTAGCAGGTCCGTGACCAAGGGGTATTTGCCTGATTGCAGTGAAGAAAAGCGAGGTGTCCGATTTAGCTATACTGTCTGGTATCAGGGGTTGCTTGTATCAGAATGGTTAAACAGCTGGTATAGTAGTTTAATTGCATTAACAATATATGACCATTTGCCTGGCGTTGTACTTTACTGTGAAAACCAATGTGAAAAATAAAGTTACTTATAGCAAGCTAGAAGCATGAATGCCTATAGCTTGCTATAAAGTAACTTTATTTTTCACATTGGATTTCACAATAAAGTGGTTGTAAACCTCAGACATGAAATATGAACAAAATATATCCCTCTATAGTGTGTACTTGTCTTGATCCAGAGCACTGAGTGTGATTTCTGTCTGCTGCTCCATTCCTCTCCTATCTGCATGGGACACGTCCTGACACCGAGAGGTAAAAAAGGGTGATAGGAGGGAGCTTCAGTACACAGCCTGTGATTGACGGCCACAGGTCTGTTTCTGAGTGCTGTGTGAAGAAGGGGGGGGGGGGGGGGGTGTCTTCCTATCCATCCCATCTGACAGCTCAGCCAGTCTGTGCAAATTCTGGATTTTGAATGGCTGAAGTAGAGAAGTGAAGACTGCAATTAAGTAGGTACAACTTTGATTCATCTGTGTATCACCTGAGGCCAGTCACTTCACTGGGTATATGTAAGGGTTTATAACCACTTTAAATTGTACCAATTGCTCTGCTTAATGAACATTGATGATTTTGAATTGGGGGCGGGGTGGTATATATGTACACCAAAAAAAGTATTGAACCACCTAATGCTGCACTGTGAATTCAGAGCCAAGTTGCCATTCACATGCAGGCTCTATTTACACTACAGTAGGAGGAGAAGATGTTGCAGAGGGTTTGGCATTTGGCATGGTCTTGTAGCTTGCTAATCAGCAGCTAGCCACACCTAGTCCAAGCTCACTGTTTTTTGGATCGACAGCACTGTCTCTGTTCCTAAACCCCCCATAGGATGCAGTACCTTGGATGGGGGAGCATGAAAGACACAAAATGACGGTAAAGGCTTGAGTAACCCATGGTAACTAGATTTGGTACTTGTCTAGGCCATAAACAAGTCATACAAGAGCCTTTATTTGTACTTTAGCTTTAGTTGAACCCAGGCAGTGTCAAATATTAGGATGCAAGATGCTACACCAAGAATAAGGAACCCATTTTGGTGAAGGTAACAACCAAGGTCTTGTTAGAACTGACGGCAAAAAACTTTTCATTTTGAAAAGACTGCCATTTGTGTATTATGGAGATTTTCCTTCACTTCTTGTCCCTTAAATGAAACAGGAAGTAAAAGGAAATCCCTCCAAAGTGAGGGAAACCCAGGTTGCCACCAGAACTAGTCCTCCCTTTGGAAAATCTAACCTCTTTTACCGACAACCCAAAATTTGGGATTTTCTTTTTACTTTCAAGTTCAATGATAATGGTAAAGATCATAGAGAGGGTGAATATCCCTAAACACGGACAGCAATAAAAACCTGAGGTGTTCTAATCCCTCTCTGCTCTATCAAAAAAAAAAAAAAAATAATAATATATATATATATATATATATATATATATATATATATATATAACCTTTAGTTATACAATGTTATTCATCTTTTCAGTGGTCCCTCATTGGCCTCCATGTAAACCAATGTAACAACCTACAGTTTTAGGCTTGGTTAACACCTATGCTTTTGATCAGTTTTGTTTTGCATTGTGCTTTAAGATTTTTACACATGCATTTTTGCCTTGTTTTTTTTTCAGCTTTTTTTTTTTGTTAAAGCGGAAATATTTTTGTTGCTGGGCAGAAAAAAAAAATCTCCAAAAATGCAAAACGCTGTAAAAAAATGCATAAATAACTCACTACATGCTTCACCATTTGAACGCTTTTTAAACACAAAAAGCAGCATTTGTGTTACAATAAAGTCCCTGACCCTTTCCAAAAACACAGCAGCTCAAAAAAAAAAAAAAAAAAGCATAGACGTGAACATGTCCCACAGAAAACCATGTTAAATGGACTGTAGTGCGTTTCTGCAAAAAGCACTAAGAAATGCGTTGGTGTAAAGCAGGGGTTCTTTGTTTCAACTGGCACACAAGTTTTCATTTAGTATGTACTAGCAAGATAACCAACAAAATCTGGCAACAGGGTCCTTTTTGTCTAGCTCTGTTTTCCCAGCACCACCAAAAGTCTATTTTTTGGCAGTGGAGATCAGACACAAACCCAAACCCTCATCCAGCACAAACCTTGTGACAAGTTTGGGATGGATGCATATACTTAAACTAGCCATGCAGCCATCTATACATGGGTATGCTGCCAGAGCCACATCTAAGTAGTCATCTACGTGTGGGTATGCTGCCATACGTAGATGGCTACATAGCTGTGTCCTCCAATGAACTACTGAAGACCTGGAATTTACAGTAAATACAAAAATCCTATTTTATTCATTACGCCTCACGCACCACTGGACATTTTGCCATGTCTCCTAGACACCTTTCCTCCTGGCAGTGGTGTTCTGGTAGAAAAAAAAAAAAAAAACACTTGTAAACGCATGTAATATGTTTACGCACGTAAAGTGCTTGGGTGTTACTTTCAGTGGCCAGAATAAATGATTACTCTCGCCAATGAAATTAACGCACAAGCGCTAAATGCGTCTAGTGTTAACATGTGTTTAGACACTTTACACCCCGGTCATATCGGGTGCGACTTGGCATGCAATTTGCATGCCATGAGACTTGGAAATCGTATGCCAAGTCGCACCCTATTGTCTGCAATTACAGCGGTGCAGTTCCGACTTGGTCTAGTACATGCACTACTTTTGGTGTGATTTGCATAGACATCTGTGTCAGATGTCTTGCAAATCACATCTGAATTCAGCATTTATCCAACTTTGAAATCGTGCAACTTCACTGTAAGTCGCAAGATTTTAAAGTCAGGCTTGATGTAACCGGAGGGTTAAAGTGGAAGTCCACTTTGTAAGTTGTACCTACAGGTAAGCTGATGATACGGCTTACCTGTATGTACAGTGAATATTGCCTAAACATGCGCCGTTTAGGAGATATTCACACACACAGTGTTACTTATATGAGGATATAGATTTTTTTATAAAAAAATAATCTTAAATCATCACAAAACCACCAGATTTATCTACAAATATTTATTATAACACTTGGATATAACTACAGGAAGCCCTTGGCACTGATAGAAAATATTGATTCACTGTTAGGTTACAAAAATTTATACATAGCAAAAGGTAATGCCTTTTTACATAAAAATAGAACACTAAACAGAAAATCAAAGGAAAACTTCCATCAACTACACAGAATAGAAAAAAAAAAAAAAATTAAGACATCGCCTTCATTATCCATACATTAGGACACTGGGCTAAAACAATCACCTGCATTGCAGTAGAAATAATTACAAGTTTTCCATGCATTGGCTTTAACGAAAAGCTAAGCTATTATGTTACATTTTTTTTTCTAAATACCATAAGTCTCATTTGTAACTTGTCAAAAAAATCCTCTCAGGATTGTAACCAAACAAAATACCCGAACACTGTCTGTTCACATTTTAGTCATCAAGTAGACTGGGCATTGTTTTTCTAAATAAGTACCGTCTACATTTCACATTTTTTTTTTTTTTTTTTAATTTTTATTTTTAGGAAGTGCAACTGTCAAAAATAATCACAATTAACCACAGAAGTATGAAGGACCTACAGCAACAATGTAATACTATATCTTCAATGCACCACTTGATTTTTTTTTTTTAATGTTTTCCATTAGTTTCAACTAACACTATTGAAAGATCATATTTTTATAGACTGCTAGAAGGGAAACTGAAATGAACGTGGTTTTCTCTCGATGCAGAAGAGATGGATGTCTTGTGTACAAACCTCAGTTCACAAACTCTAAGCCAATTCCTCTCTTGATGCTCTAGTAGATCTGAAAACTTCACAGCTTGTGGCACAAATGTCTATGTGCAAGTATATACAACGCTGGGTTCATGGTTTACTTCCAGAGTAACACTACTTTATACTGAGATTCCTTCATAGAATTAAACTTACTGAAATAAAGTATGGTAGATGCACGTACTTGGTATGTTAACCAAGTATCCAACCCAGCCACTGAGTCGTCTCCTCCCCCCTTCCCCGATTTGGAATGATCTATTCCAAAGGGAAAGGAAGCACCTATGTGTTCAAAGGGCTTCCTTTCAAAATGCCTGAGATTGAAATGTGTGAGGGAAAAAATTTAAACATTTTTTTACTCACTGTAATTTGTTTAAACGGTACAGCTTCATGTCCAAAACCATGTTATGTTTTTTCCTTTTTTTTTAAATTAATTTATTTTTTTAATTGTACACTTCTGCATTAATTGATTAGTCACAAAGGCTACCGCTTCTCATGCTGTTAATGTTTTATGTGTAAGAATTGAGCTGTTCTTTGGATCGTGACTGGATATCTTGAAGTTCTTGCTCTTCTTTAGCTTTAATTTCTTGGTAGGCCTGCATTTTGCTTGCATCCTTTAAGTAGGCCCAATTAGAAGCCAGAATCATGAGGAAGTGGATCTGCAAGAGAAGGGTGAGCACGATGGCTAGTAAACGTGTCAAGAGGCAAAGCAAGCAGCTTGTTAGAGTTCTATAAGCAGCAGTAGTTTAATAATAATAAAAAATAAAATAAGAAAAAAAAGTTAATTTGCTTTTGAACTCTTTAGTGAAAATTAACAAACATATCCATTCATGCACTTATTAGACTATGGTGACAAAAGTTAAAGCTGAATTCCGGGATAAGCAAATACTGTTTAAATACAAAAAGTTGTGTGTATTCTTATTTGAAAGAAATAACACAAAATACACCTAGATTCAGATATGTGCAGAAATCCTGCATTAAAGTGGTTCAAATGGGTCACTTTTTTCACATTAATGCATTGTCTGCATTAAAGCAGAGCTACACTGCATCTGAGCACCACAAATCAAAAATGCTATTTAATTCATTTTTTATATTCAAAGCAAACTCCCTCATCCATCCAAGTCTCCATGCTTTATTTTGTTGAGAAATCACTTGGAAACCCCCCCCCCCCCCCCCTAGCATTTCTGGCCATCTTGAGTAAGGGCAGATGATTCATATAGCATTTACTTCCTGGAATCCATCTGCCCTTAGCTCAGACATGCAGGCAGGAGGTTGTGCTTAGCTGAGAAAACCCCTCCTCCCCTTCTGAAGACTCCTGTGATGTATTACATAATTTGCCTAGGTATGGAAAGCAGTAACTAAAGAAATATGGAAAATAAAAAAAGGCTTACAACAAGCAAATATGATATACACTATATTGCCAAAAGTATTGGGTTGCCTGCATTTACATGCACATGAATTTTTTGGCATCACAGTCTTAGTCCTTAGGGTTCAATATTGAGTTGGCCCACCCTTTGCAGCTATAACAGCTTCAACTCTTCTGGGAAGGCGGTCTACAAGGTTTAGGAGTGTGTCTATGGGAATGTTTGACCATTCTTCCAGAAATGCATTTGTGAGGTCAGGCACGGATGTTAGGTGAGAAGGCCTAGCTTGCAGTCTCAGCTCTAATTCATCCCAAAGGTGTTCTTTTGGGTTGAGGTCAGGACTCTGTGCAGGCCAGTCAAGTTCCTCCACCCCAAACTTGCTCATCCATGTCTTTATGGACTTTGCTTTGTGCACTGGAGTGCAGTCATGTTGGGACAGGAAGGGGCCATTCCCAAACTGTTCCTACAAAGTCTTCACTGGAACTAAAGGGCAAAGCCCAACCCCTGAAAATCAACCCCACAGCATAATGCCCCCCCTCCACCAAACTTTACATTTGGCACAATGCAGTCAGGCAAGTACTGTTCTCCTGGCAACTGCCGAACCCAGACATGTCCATTGGCTTGCCAGAGAAGCGTGATTTGTCACTCCAGAGAACACGTCTCCACTGCTCTAGAGTCCAGTGGCGGCATGCTTTACACCACTGCATCAGACGCTTTGCATTGCACTTGGTGGTGTAAGGCTTGGATGCAGCTGCTTGGCCATGAAAACCCATTCCATGAAGCTCTCTACACATTGTTGTGCTAATTTGAAGGCCACACAAAATTTGGAGGTTTCTAGCTATTGATTCTGCAGACAGTTGGCGACTTCTGCGCACTGCGCGCTTCAGCATGTGCTGAACCCGCTCTGTCATTTTACATGGCCTACCACTTCGTGGATTAGTTGCTGTTCCCAGTTGCTTTCACTTTATTATAATACCACTAACAGTTGACCTTAGAATATTTAGTAGCAAGGAAATTTCACTGATGGACTTATTGCACAGGTGGGAACCTATCATGGTACCACACTTGAATTCACTGAGCTCCCGAGAGTGACCCACTCTTTCACAAATGTTTGTAGAAGCAGTCTGCATGCCTAGGTGTTTGATTTTATACACCTGTGGCCATGGAGGTGATTAAAACACCTGAATCCAATGATTTGGAGTGGTGTCCCAATACTTTGGCAATACAGTGTACTTTCTTATTTACTAATGTTATGAGCCTAAGGAATAAAAATAGTCTATGTTAATTGAGAGAGTAAAGTTCTACTTTAAGGTAAAAACCTTCTGTGCCACAGGATTCCCCCAGCATCCCCCTCCCCCCATACGTTTCTGAGTCTAATCTCAATCCAGTGCTGTGCCCTAGAGGCAGCAACTCTCTCACTCCTCAGAGGGCGGCTCAGTAGCAGTGGAAGCCATTGGCTGCTACTGCTGTCAATCAAATCCTGTGATGTGGGGGCAGGTCAAGCTGCACTGTCTATATCTATAGATACAAGCAGTGTGGCTCAGGATCCAGCCCACACGTGTGCCGTCGTAGGAGCAGCTTAGTATAACAGAGCACAGAGCAGGTTAGTATAACATATTAAAAAAAAAAATGAAGGTTTACAATCACTTTAAACTTTGCCTCAAGACCGATGACTGTTGCTTTCTCTCCTTGTGCAGAGTGACTGGTCTTTTATCCGCCCCCCTTATTGTTTTCTGCAGGCAGCCCATAGTGGATGGGTATGCTGGCTCTTCCCACAGCTCAGCACCCTGCATAGACTATGTGCAGCACAGCAATGGTGTCACTGCTACTTTGACATAGTCATAACTGGGTTTTCAAAGGCATTTGGTGCACACAAAATGGATTTCTATCCTTTGTGGCCAATAAGGAATATATTTAAATGAAAAAATTGTGCCTGGAGTTCAGCTTTAACTAAAGCAACTAAGGAAGTGAATTAGTAAGAAATCAATCAAGTCTATAAATGTGTTTGCAAGGTGGTTAAAGCAACAGAGATCAAAATCGCTTAACATATGTTTGCTTGATGGTTAAAATAACAAACCGCCCCTCTTCCCCACCTTAAAATAAAAACAAAAATAAATGAAACCAAATTGCTTTTTATTTCTTTTTTTTTTTTACTCTGTGTAGAACATTTATATATAAGAAACAATATTGTATCATAGATACACAAGTGAGAAAAAAAAAATAAAATTCAGGACATACTAAAATAGAAAACACATGGTCTGTTAAATAGAAATTTTCTTCATATATTACACAAACTGTGGAGGTAACGGTTTTATAAACAGAAGCATGCAGTCCACAAATTAGTGTTTATTGCCTTTTTATTCAACTACAAAAATAGGTTATAAAAAAAAAAAAAAAAAAAAAAAAAAAAATAGAATCCATTGCTAGTGCTTTTATTCTTCTTTCAAACTTCCATGTCAATAAAGAACTTTGTATCCAGTGAAATTATGTCACGCAATACACTTCCTTCGCTCTACTATTACCTGTCACACCTTACATCACTTCCTTCTTTCTTGCTTATATAGCCAACAGGGCCTCCAGTACTTGCAGATCAAACTGGCCTTGAATCTAGTGGTCAAAGACCTATTCGCCTCTTATGGTTTTGAATTTATTTGCTGAGATCTGGCTAATAAGTGATCAGCAACTGTCTTAACCTGTACAATATTTGTGTCAACGTGCAAAATAAAAAAGGCTCAGGTTTTCATTATATAGGGCATGTAAGTGCAAGTTAGGTATTTGTTACTGGTTAGTAGGAATTGGTAAAAAGTTATGCCTATGTAGCTGGTGTATGTATATGTGCATGGCTGTAAGGATACATGTTCCACCTCTGACACACATGACTATATTGCAGCTAAGCAAAGCTGACTAGATGGAAGGCACATGTGACAGAGGTCATTACAATATGTCAAATTGAGTGTGCTTTTAGCCAGACCTCTTCCACTGTTGTGTTTACATACAATACTTTTATTATTGGTATTATTATTATCTATGACTCTATTAAGTAAGACTATTTACAAAAAAAAAATGTAATTGAAATTTTAAAATGCTAGACTGAGTTTTTAGTCCAGGGTGTCAGTGGTAGTTTAAGCTACAACAATACAGTCTTTCTATTGCTGTGACTAAGGTTAGAATTTAGTGCAGCAATCCTCCCGACTCTTAAACTTCAAAACGGCATAGTTATATGTGGTTGCCATCATGTAGATCAGCTGGTGGAAGAGAACAAAATAAAAAGGAGTGTAAGATATGGCACGTTAATGCCTCATGCAGCCTTGGACATAACTCAGCTACAGGTGCATTGTGCATGGGATATCACAGTGGCTAGAATCAACTATCAGTGTAGATTTAGGAGACCTCATCTACAATACACATTAATATGTGTGAGCAGGACAGTAACCACAACTGGAGTGTAAGAATGCAAGGTTTTTACTGGTCATCAGTAAAATATAATTGAACCAGAATGTATAAGCCCTTATGTACAATTTTTTCATTTGGGTTACCATAATATTAGAAGTCCTGCAAGCAGAGTGGGCCCAAATTCCCCCACAACAGTGCATGTCCCTGGTAAATAGCTACTGACTATATTAAATGCAGACAGCTAGAAGTGACAACCATCTACAGACTACAAAACAACCATTTACTTATTTTCTAAAACATACCATACCAGGAAATTAACATATTAGTGTCTGGCTGTATTCATGTAGAATTACACTCACAACATAAGGTCTAATTACATTTAAAGAGACCCTGTCATCAACTTGAATGTAGAAGTACAGAAAAATGTTTACTTGCAGTCTTTCCTCTCTATAAATGGAGTAAAGCAGAATAATAAAGTGAAGGAAATAAGTATTTGAACCCCTGCTGATTTTGAACGTTTGCCCAGTCACAAAGAAATGATCAGCCTAAATGTCTAACAAATTATGCACTGATTTGCATGTTCATGAGGGAAATAAGTATTTGATCCCCATTCAGCAGGATTTTTGGCTACCAGGTGTCTTTCATACAGGTAACAAGCTGAGATTAGAAGCAGTCTCCTAAAGGGAGTGCTGCTAATCTCATTTTGTTACCTGTATAAAAGACACCTGTTCACAGGAGCAATCAAACAATCAGATTCCAAACTCTCCACCATGGCAAAGACCAAAGAGCTGTCCAAGGATGTCAGGGACAAGATTGTAGACCTACACAAGGCTGGACTGGGCTACCAAACTATCGCCAAGCAGCTTGGTGAGAAGGTGACAACAGTTGGTGCAATAATTCGCAAATGGAAGAAACACAAAACAACTGTCAGTCTCCCTAGGTCTGGTGCACCATGCAAGATCTCACCTCGTGGAGTGTCAATGATCATGAGAACAGTGAGGAATCATCCCAGAACTACACTTGAGGATCTTGTCAATGATCTCCAGGCAGCTGGGACCACAGTCACCAAGAAAACAATTGGTAACACACTACGCTGACAAGGATTGAAATCCTGCAGTGCCCGCAAGGTCCCTCTGCTCAGGAAAGCACATGTCCAGGCCAGTTTGAAGTATGCCACTGAACATCTGAATGATGCAGAGGAGGACTGGTTGAATGTGTTGTGGTCAGATGAGACCAAAATCGAGCTCTTTGGCATCAACTCAACTCTCCGTGTTTGGAGGAGGAGGAGGAATGCTGCCTATGACCCTAAGGACACAATCCCAACTGACAAACATGATGGTGGAAACATTCTGCTTTGATGTGGTGCAGTTTTCCTGTCCCCTTAGCAGAAAAACACCCCCAAAGGGACGATGGACAGAGTATTGTCATGCTGGAACACCCATCCATGACCCATTTTGAATGACCCAAAACACACAGCCAAGGCAACAAATGAGTGGCTCAAGAAAAAGTACATTAAGGTCCTGGAGTGGCCTAGCTAGTCTCCAGACCTTAATCCGATTGAAAATCTGTGGAGGGAGCTGAAAGTTCAAGTTGCCAAACGTCAGCCACCAAACCTTAATGACTTGGAGAGGATCTGCCAAGAGGAGTGGGCCAAAATCCCTCCTGAGATGTGTGCAAACCTGGTGGCCAACTACAGGAAACGTCTGATCTCTGTGATTGCCAACAAGGGATTTGCCACTAAGTACTAAGTCATGTTTTGTGAAGGGGATCAAATACTTATTTCTTTCATGAACATGCAAATCAGTGCATAATTTGTTAGACATGCATTTCTTTTGTATTTTTTTGTTGCTATTCTGTCTCTCAGTGTTACAATACACATATTCGATTTGTAGACTGATCATTTCTTTGTGAGTGGGCAAACATTCAAAGTCAGCAGGGGATCAAATACTTATTTCCTTCACTGTATACAGTGTTCCATGAGTGACAGCTCTTTGTCTCCTGACATCTTACTAATAGGTGGCACCCAACAGCTGTTTCACAGCTTTCGGATGTCTACACAAGGAAGGCTTTTACATGCAATATGCATAAAATACATCAAATGCACATATAATTTTGTAGGAAGATTTTTGTTGAAATTAATAGTCCGACAACAGGGTCTCTTTAAAGTGGTCCTAAAGGTTAATAAGATCACTTTTATTCACCAGCTCAACTTGCTTGTTTAAAGTCAAAAACTGCACTTTACTGCTCAAAGTATTCCATGGCAGCAGGTCATATAACCTAATGCTGAGGCATGGATCCATGATCATGGGTCAACATTTGTGCATGACTAGCCGCTATGGGATCTCAGAGAAGCCATTTCAACAGCAAGGAATTTCAGGTTACCTTTGCTGATTTTAATGCTTTGCACATATGAACTTCAGCATGTTTAAAGGGCTGTGTCACACTAGTGACAACTCACCAACAGAATCACTAAAAAACTGCAGAGAAAATATTCCCCCACTTCCTTGTGTAACTCTCTCTGGCTGGATGAGTGAGGTATTGACCCTTTGCTTATGAAAATTCTGCAGAAGGTACATCATCAGCATAGAAGCGGCTTTTCGTTCATCCAGCCAGCAAAGGAGCAACTCTAGAACCTGGTATTTCTTAATTCTGTTCTAACTCTAGTGACATGTTGCCAGTGACAGGATCAATAGTGTGATGTGGCACTAACAGCAAACATTTACGCAGTATTGTGGCTCTGCTCCAGAAAAAATGGGCCACATCACCACTACTTTTTTTTAGTAAGCTTTTTTGTCTTCTGAACATCCCACACGACACAGCCTCCTTTGCTGATACATTTCACCCTAATGCTGGGTGGGTTAAGCAGGACGCGTCCAACATTTGATCAGTGTTTACAGCAGCCTGTTTGACAGGAGCTGATTTGTTGAATGGACATGCTGGAAAACCAGCATCCGATCAGTGCTTGCAGCCAATGGCTGTGAGATCTAATCAGTATGTTCTGGCAGGAAGGGAGAGGGGTGGTTAGGCCCGCTGAATTGAATAAAAAAAAAAAAAAAAAAAAAAAAGAAGAGCTGTATGTACTGGGCTCAAGGAAGGGCCTAGTTACAAAAGGTTTTTAAGCACCCTTCAGCTCCAGTTTGTAGAGGTTACACATAAATAATGGACAGCAGGCTTTAGAAGGCTTTCAACAACTTTGAATGAGGGCTAAAGCCTACTAGCAGCTTGTCTAAATCAACAGCTTCTTTTAACATTAGGATCTGCTTTTAAACATCCCAAATTGGAGCTGGAGGGGTTTTAAAAGCTGTAAGGAACTTGAAGGTGGCTGAAATTCTTGCAAATACTTTGTACAAATGGATTTCATCTTTTATAAAAGCAATATATGCAGCATGCTATTACAAAGTGTAATGGTGTGGAGTAGACAAGTGGTGGACGTTTTACAGTTGTGCTCAGAAGTTTGCATACCCTTGGAGAATTAGTAATCGTATGTACCATTTAAAGAAAACATGAGTGAAACAGGCAAAATATTTCTTTTATTTGTTATGGGATCATACGAGAATGACACAATCAAAAAACAAAACAAGTAAACAAATGAAATGACCCCTGTTCAAAAGTCTGCATAACCTTAGTTCTTAATACTGTGTATTGCCCCCTTTAGCATCAATGACCGTGTGCAATCTTTTATAATAGTTGTCTCAAAAGGCCCCAAATTCTTGCAGATAGTATAGCTGTCCATTCCTCTTGGCAAAATTTCTCCAAGTCATGCAAAGTCTTTGGTTATCTTGCATGAATCACACGTTTGAGATCTCCCCAGAGTGGCTCATTGATATTACGGTTAGGAGACTATGTGGTCACTCCAGAACCTGCACCTTTCTCTGCTGTAACCACTGGAGGGTCAACTTGGCCTTGTTTCAAGAGTTATTGTCATGCTGGAATGTCCAAGAGCGTCTCATGTGCAGCTTTCATGCAGAAGAATGCAAATGGTCTGCCAGTATTTTCTGATAACATGCTGTATTCATCTTTCCATCAATTTTCACAAGATTCACTGTGCCTGTAGAGCTCTCACCCCCCCCCCCCCACTCAAACATCAGGGAGCCACCACCATGCTTCACAGTGGGGATGGTATTCTTTTTGCTATAAGCCTTGTTGACCCCTTTCCAAACATAGTGCTTATAGTTGTAAGCATAATGCTCTATTTTGGTCTTGTCACTCCAAATTACAGTATGACAGAAGCTGTGAAGTATCAAGGTGTTGTCAGCCATATTGTAACCAGGCTTTGTTGTGGCATTGGCACAGTAAAGGCTTCTTTCTAGCAACTCAACCATGCAGCTCATGTTTGTTCACGTAATGTTATATTGTGCTTCTTGAAACAACCACACTGTCTTTTTCCAGAGAAGCCTGTTTCTCCTGAGGATATCTGTGGATTTTTCTTTGTATCCTGAATAATTCTTCTAGCAATTGTGACTACAATCTCTTGGTCTACCTGACCTTGGCTTGGTATCAAGAGATCCCCCAATTTTCCACTTCTTGATAAGTGATTGAACAGTACTGAATGGCATATTCAAGGCTTTGGATATCTTTGTATATCCTTTTCCATCTTTATAAAGCTTTATTATCTTGTCATTCAGGTCTTTTAACAGTTCTTTTCTACTACCCATGTCTCAGTATCTAGCCTGCTCTGTGCATCCATGTGAGAGCTAAAACTCATGCACTATTTATACACAGACACTGACTGCAATTTAAAAAGCCACAGATGTGGGAAATTAACCTTTAATTGCCATTTTAACCTGTGTGTGTCACCTTGTGTGTCTGTACCAAGGCCAAACATTCCAAGGTATATCAACTTTGATCATGGCCATTTGGGTGATTTCTGTTATCATTATGATTTAAAAAGAAGCCAAAACAACTATGTGATAATAAATGGCTTCATATGATCCCAATCCCAAAAAAAAAAAAAAAAAAAAAAAAAAAAAAAAACGTTTTTTGGCATGGTCATATTTTCAATATCAATGCCAAAAATTTCACAAATTCTGCCAGGTTATGCAAACTGTTGAGCACAACTGTATATGACTTTAGCTACATTTTAATATCAACCAATTAAGAACAGTAACCTAGAAGGTGAAGATTACTAGCAAGACATTTTTGGTGCTGGCAATATTTTCAGGTTGATTGTAGAAGTTCCAGGAATGTTATTTGGTGTCATGTTAATACAATGCCTTTGTTTAGAAGTTTTGGAGACCCCTGCTTTAAACTAAGGGCCAGTTTACTGTCCTTCAGACTTTAGGGGGGCTGGACTGTGACCAGTGGAAGTAGGAAATTCCCTGGTGTCAGTGGGAGTAAACAATGACACATCTTTAGTGGGAGTAGTGGGCGCTGGAGTCAGTGGGAGGAATAGCGCCCCATCGTTAGCGTTAGTGGAAGGATCAGCACCCCATCGTTGGTGTCAGTGGGAGGATCAGCGCCCCATCATTGGCATCAGTGGAATGCATAGTGCCCCATTGTTGGTGTCAGTGGGAGAAATAGTGCCCATCATTGCTGTCAGTGGGAGGAATAGTGCCCATTGTTTGTGTCAGTGGCAAGAATCACGCCCCTTGTTGGTGTCTGTAGGAGTAATAGTGCCCCAAGGCAAGCAAAGGGCCGCATCTGGCCCTTAAGCCACAGTTAGACCACTGGTCTAAGTGATCCTTATACAGTGCAAAGCATTTATAATTACTGATATACAAATGTACATTTAAGTTAAAGAGCAATGCTACATAAGACAGTAAACAAGCGCAAGCTCTGCCTGCTATAAATCTGCAGCAGATTTTCAGCATGCAATTCAATTCAATGTCTGAAAAATGCTACCTTTTATTGTAATCTATAATGCAAACTTACCAATGCAATAACAGTAGCACCTGCTCCAGCACAGGCCACAATGAACAGATGGTAGGACATGTAGAACTGGAAAAAAAAGAAACCACAAAAAAGGTACATGAATATAGGCTTAGAACATACAATACATATAATATAGGTATGCTACAAAATATACCCTCCTTCACACAGCACACAGAACAGCCTGAGGCTGTCAATCTGCTGTCCCTTGTCACCATTTTTATCTTGATGTCAGGAAATCCTGTCAGAAGTGATTCATGCTGATAGCAGAAGAAGGAGGCAGTGGACAGAAATGACACTTAGTGCTCATAATTGGGACAAGTACATACTATAGAGGGATAGGTTTTGTTTATATATCATGTCCGAGGTTTACAACCACTTTACGACCGCCTGCCCACATTGCACTGCGGATGTACAGGTATGTCACTGTCTACTTCCGGGTTTCGCACCCCACCAGCACTTGTTTTGGTTGTACACAGTGGGTGTCTGTCAGCTAGTCCCGGCCAGCAAATCACGGCCAGGACCTGCTGATTATCTGTGTACGATCACAGCCCTGAGCTATGTGTGGACATTCAACACGGATATCTGTACACAGGAAGTGATCTGCAAGTTTTTCATCCCTGCTAAGCAGGGATAATAAACTGATAGATCTCTTAGCAGCCCATAATACACACATTACAATTAATTAGGCACACATTTAAACCCGTGATCATCCTAGATGTTAACTCCTTCCCAGTCAGTGTCATTAGTACAGTGACAGTGTATAGTATTAGCACTGATCACTGTAAAAATGTCAATGGCTGTTATTCATTGTCACTTTGGCTGCCAGTCTCCCACAGCCTCACTATAAAATCTGTGATCATAACCATTAGTAGTATAAAAAAAAAATCCAGTATATATACACCACTGTTTGAAGGTGCTATAACTTTCACACAAACCAATCAATATACACTTATTGGGATTTTTTATAATTTTTTTTTATCAAAAGACATGTAGAAGTATACATGTTGGCCAAAATTTATTATTTATAAAGAAATTTTATTTTTGTATTGGTTATGTTTTATAGCCAAAAGTAAAAATATAGTTTTTTTTAAATGTTCAGTCTTTTTTGTTTATATCATAAAAAATGAAAAACCCAACAGTGATGAAATACCACCAAAAGAGAGCTCTATTTGTGTGGAAAAAATTATATAAATTTTGTTTGGGTACAGCATTGCATGACCACGCAATTACCAGTTAAATTAGCGCAGTGCGGTATAGCAAAAAGTGGCATGGTCATTACGGGGTAAAATCTTCTGGGGCTGAAGTTGTTAACCTAATGTATGTAGTGTATACAATTTAAAGTGAAAATTAGCAGCTATACAATTGATTGGTTGTTGTGGCTTACCAGCTATTGAAGTGTGCACTAATTTACTAAAGAAAGCCATTTGTACTGTAATTTGAAACGTGTGTGTGTGTTCAACCAGTAAACTGAATGCATTCATACTGCAGCTTAGTAAAGTGTCTGTATTAAGGAAAAAAAAAAAAAGGATTGATAAATTTGAATTTAGAATTTCAATTTTCCTACCTCATTGGTACTGCAGATATTTTCCAAAGCTGATCCACAAGCCTTCCCAGGCAAGGCACTCCATGGAATGATACCTGCACAGAAAAGAAGGATGATTGTCTGAATTCACTGCAAACAACTCTGCACGCTGTCTTCACTCCCCCACCCACTGGCCATCTGTGTTCCTTTAGATGCACCCACACAGAATGTTCAGTTTATCTACTAACTGGCATAATGACGTGTTCAGCAATTCACCTACCATGGCAGACTCTACAAAAAGCTTTCAACCATAGGCAATAGCAAATATGTATCCCGATGACAGCTGCTGGATCCAAAGAGTATGCAACTTCACCACTCCTAGACACAAGTGTGTGCTCAGACTTCTAATTTTGACCGTAAAGTGGGTACCAGGTGTAAACTTTCACAGCAAATCAGATTTCTATTTTCCTATTCTATTGGCATGGAAAAAATGCATGCTGGCAGTTCTCAGATTATGTCACAACCCATTCCCATTCTCAGCCAAAAAATGAACACTGTCACATAGAAGCAAACAGCCATATGTAAATAATAGCACCTAAGCCTATTCAGGGTCTTTAACAAGTCATCAACCATTGCAAAATACCACTCTACAGCAGTTATTTGCTTCAATTCAAAAAGCGACCACACAGATAAGTATACTTAATTTTATAAAGGTGAAAGGTATTTTCAGTCGAGTCCAATGGTATTTGAAAATGACAGTCGCATGACTAAATTAGAGAGCCTTATATTTGTGCTAAAGCTTTCTTAATTGAGCCTATTGGCTCTTCACTGAAATTCAATTCTCAAATGTGTACAGTTTACAGAAATACTGTCAAAGGGTCAAGTCTACTATGTTAAAAAAAAGCACATATAGCCTTTATCACTTTCCCAGTAGTGGAATTCCTCTTCTCTGAATATGATGTACTATAGCAGGTGAAAGGTGAAACAAAAGTACCGTATTGTCGGATGTCCACACATATCTGCTCCGCTGAAGTGGTCAAGTTTACGGGCAACCCTTTAAGGACTTCACAAGATGACCACATGTTATAGAACATGAAAACAGGCACTGCAGAGAATCCAAACACTCCAAGCCAGGCCACCCCCAGGATGTAGGTCAGGAACACAAACTGATGGGAAAAAAAAACCAAATAAACATGAAATGAATAACTGCGTCAGTATAACAAAAGCAGAGAAGAGTTTGGTTGAATGAAACTTAAAGCTCTACACAACATTACAGATGCTAAACTCTCATAAGCAGAAACATGGCTAGTCTGTTTACTGCTAGTTTACAACTTCGTAATTATGAGAATGTACGCACCTTTGTAAATGTTATCATACATGTACACTGTTTGTAGCAGTTGGTAGGGTGGAAGTTTTAAGCAGTTAATATATCTGAAAAACTGTATGAAATGAGGAAGAAAGATTTTCTTCACACCATCATTCCATAGGTTCACAACTCATCCAGACCTCCTGGTACTTGTTTATAGAGTAATATCAATCCTACAAAGGTTTTAAATGATCAAACAGAAGAATAGCCACTAAATACTTCTGAAAAACTTGAATTGCATGCTGCAAAGTTGCACATGGTATGGTCGGAAGTTCATGGATGATCTTAAGCATCTATCTACATGCAGTATGTTCTTAATTTTCTGGAGGACAGTTAAGCTAACCACTTTAAAGTACACAATAAAACTTCAGTGAATCCATGGAGGAAATGGGACCTAAGAGCTGAAAGGAAACCTGTACCAAGACCGAGAAAGATGGAGGCACCCATTTCTGACCTGCTTCTGAAACTGCTGGCTGCTTAGCTGTCTTTGGCTTTTAGCCCTGGTTCACAATGATGCTGTGCAGTTTCTGTGCGATCTCAGGAGCAGTTGTGGTGCAATTTTGATGTGATTTTACACAGCTGCAATTTCTGTTCTGGCCAATTTTGTGACATTGGGAACAGTGCGGGATGCACCTATTTCTATTCAGGTCTATGGGGCTCAAAAACACACAACAGTGCACCAAACTCACACAAGACCTTTTAGGTGTGAATGACCTCCATAGAAAGCCATGTTCTCTCCCCTGACATGAGAATCTATGCATTCTGGAACGCATCAGTGTGAAACAGGGCTAAAGGATAAGGTCACCTTTAAAAAAAAAAAATAATAATAATCAATGGACATTTATTTTCAGGTAAAAAATATGCATTTTTTTTGTTAGGAGTCTGTAAAGCATTGCATGATCAGAGCAAATCATGAGTGTAATGCCACGGTCCTGCAGACTGCATCTGTCTGCCCTAACCTCTGATACAAGCAGGCAGTTACAATCTGATAGGAACAATCAATGGACTACCACAGCTCTCACCAGCACCCTATCCTTTAATGTATTTAGACACTTACCTAAACCAAGCAGGAAAATTAAGAGCTGATATTCTAGGTACTTGTTCTAGGTGAGTGACCTAGAAATTACTGAAGCCACGGCAACTTGGTAGAAGTTTACATATTATCTTAGTGTTACGAATGTTGTCTTCCTTACTGGGGAGCTTTCTCCCCACTTTATTTCATGTTAACCACAAAGGAAGTGAGCCAAATATTTCCAATTTGACAGAGGTTCTATTTTCCCCTTGCTAGAAAAAAAAAAAAAAACACAAAAAAACCCACAACTTTATTTCTGCGTTCTTCAAATGATAGGCCCCTTTCCCATGTGGCGGACTTGTCAGAAGATCAGCTTGGGGATCTGCCCGCTGAGCAAGCGGATGACATTTCCGTGTATGCTCCGCTTATACACAGCCCACTGTCCTTTATGGGCTGTTGGATGGGAATGGACCGCCTGTCCATTTCCATCCGACAGTCTTTCGATCTGATCCACCAGACAGATGGGGGAACATTTTAGCTGACAGGATCGGATCAGATGCAGGTGAGCATAAATGGATGCAAACGTCTGTTTACACTTGATGCTCCATAGAGAGCAGTGGAGCGTCCAATCGAGTCTGCTTGAAAAATGGACAGGCGGACCCCGTTGGTGTGAAAGGGGCTCACCTTCTGTCCTAGTGACCATGAAGGAACTGTGTGTAAATCTTTTCAATGTAACACAGACAGCTTTAGGGCCTATGTTAGCAGGCTTTTGTTCATGTCAGATTTTTTTTTGCTTTCCAATACAAGTCTATATGAATGAAAAGATCCGCTGGAAGTAGGTCAAATGTAAGGCAAAAAGAGGTCAACTGCAGTTCAAATGCATCTGTCAATATGTCCTCAGAAGCATCTCAAATGGACGTCACTGATACAGGCCCTAATGCATATACAAAGCTGGGCTAGGCTAAACTGCAAAGTACAACAACTTTTAGCAGCCAGATTGTTTGTTAAAATCAGGTTAATAAAATTTGAATCCCATCTGGCTGCTGTATGTTACTACATGATCGATGAAAGGCAAGGTCTCACCATTCCACTGATGCATCGTCCACAGGCAGTAGTTTTAAATTCACTGTGCATTTCCTTCACTGCACTGGTGGTGTAGAAGCCCTCTGCCAACAGGATTATCCCATACAGGAAGAAGAAAGAAGCAATTCCATAGATGACATACTGCATTAACTGGATTCTGCAATACAAAGAAATTTTAGTCTACTAATATTTACCAACAGTCATCGAGCAATATGTGGACACTGAACTTCCATGTTTTCACCTTCAACAATTACCGGATGGGGATGTTTACATGCTGCAACTGCGTTGGATAGCAGCAACGTTGACCCGTCATATAGCACTCGGCAGGCGGTTGTGGATCGTTTTTTGGCAAAAATGGGGTTAATGCAGGCAGTGAGGAGGCAACACATCACTTCTTCACTGCCTGTCAGTAGCCTCTGGAGCACGAACTGAAGGCATATCGGGCTTCGGAAGCAAGAGAGATTTAGATGCATATCTAAATCTACCCTTAAAGTGGACTTGTTAACAAGAAGTGAATGTCTGCTATGTTAAATGTTAATACTGCAGAGAAGTACCTTTTGTCTAGGATTCCTCCTCATAAATATCAATGCTGGTTTGTACTACTGTGCCCACATCTTAATATTGTGTTGTCCAGTGTTCTCACTGCTAGAGGTTCTGACGCAAGGTGGAAAAGCCCTGTCTCTACCAAGATGGCCACCCCTATGCAGACAGTGCTGAATAAGGCATGGTCAGTCAGTTATGGGGAAAAGGTCAGGCACAGGGAGACTACAGGCAATACGAGTGACTTGACCTTTACCCTTGGCCTGCATTTTTTTGAGCACAGCTTTCATAGATCATATAAATTTAATTGCACCAAAATGCATGTGAACAGAGTGTTCTAATTAAACCAAACGGTGTGTGAGATTGGAATATTTTTCACAGGTGCCTGCTCCAAATGTCACGATTCGAAGAGTCATCCTGATTTCCAATTTGAACTTCTGAGCACGCTACATATCTAGAAAGCATTACTTTGGTTCATATGGTTTGAGGTGTTTTCAGGGGATGTCTATAAAGCTTTGATACTATCTGTTGGCCTGGGGGAGTCTGTCAATGAAATGGAGCCCAATAAGAGAATTCATGCACTTACAGTATGTTGCTTGCTAGAACACCAAATATTAAACAGTTTTTGTGTCAGGATGTATTAAGATACTTAATAACGACACAAATGAATCAAAATAAATTGTAAGGCTTTACACAGCTGAAGATAGTTTAATGCATACAAGTATACACACACTATATATGTTGTTACTGGCTTGATGTCTACTATATTATGAGTGTTTGGTGTCCATACTTACACCTCAGTCAAAAGGGCATGGTCATTGGGGTTCGAGGAGAAGTGCTGCTCCAGGATGTTTACCGTTCCAGTGAGGGCAACATGACCACAGCCACAAAAGAGAGCTACTCCAGAGAAGCACAGAATGGTGGCCACCAGCGAAGCATATGGAACTCCTCCCAAGCACTTAATGCAGCACTCAAAGCAACCTGCGAACAAAAGAAGACCGCACCCTAATTAGTGATAGCGCTGCCTACAAGTGTATACAGCAGCCATTGTTTCCTACTGTGCTCCAGCTGCAAGCCGTCTACTCTGCTAACCGGAATCTAGGTCAATTTACAGAGAGACAAAGAATGCAATGTTGGGAACGGGAAACAATCTCTTAAAAAATAATACTGTGTGAATACAGCAGATATGCCTAACAAGTGCTCACTTTTAATTGTCTTTTTGTGTTTATGTAAAGTACTTTAAGTCAGTTTCACTTCTCACCGCATGAATCTAACAAACAGGCATGCAGAGGTTTCAGCAGGACATACGGCAGCTTAATCAGCACACATTAATTCATTATACAAGAGGTGGTGGCAGACAAAGCAAAACATGGTGCTAAAACACTCTGTGCAGCCTAGCATTAATATTCTACCTAGAGGGCCCTGAGGATAATCCACCAGCACTGGGAATTCTACTGTGATATTCACACTAAACCGGACACTCCCACATGTATATATCTTTCCAACACTTTTCTGTACATTACAGAAGGGCCTCCTAGACCCAGCACAGCTCTGGGACACCATCCAAGGGATTTTAAAGTGGAAGCTACACCCAAAACACACTCCACTCGCCTTAAAAGGATATTTTATGACATTTACATTTTAATTTAAATTGGTTTCTTTTTACCACAATATCACACATGTAATTATATGGTTTTCAATTTAAGTAGGTTGTCTGCATTATGATTAGCTCATAATCCCAGCTTCAGGGTAAGAAAGAGGAATCTCTTTACTGAGCTGTGCATAAACACGAAATGCTAACAGATATATTAATTCCAAGATCAGAAAGTAGACAAACTAACATAAAAATGACAGGGGGCACATGAATGGTGAATACGAGTTGTTTTTAATAAAGGAGAAGTATGGCCAAAGCTCTTTTGGCCCTGCTTCTCCTGTGATACATAGGCGTGAACTTCATTCTGCACTCCTGTCATCCAGATTCAGCCGTCGGTGGGCTAATGTTTTCAGTTGGCTGACATCAGTGGGCCAGTTCAGACTCTGAAGAGATCCTGACTTTAATGTCAGGATCCACCCAGAATCCTGACCAGCAACTGGCTAAGCCTCACTGAGCCATAGAGAGCCTGAGCCTAAAAACAAGGAAGGAAAAAACAAAAAGTGATGTTTTTGACCAATCAGGTTTTATTCTCTGGGAAAATAAAAATAAAACTTAGAATCTGATTGGTTACATTGGGTGACATATCCACTTTTCAGCTTTCTTCAGGTGTATGATCTTTATATAATTGTATTTTTCTTTAATTTGGTTCATAAAATTTCTACACCTTACAGTTGAAACCAAAGTCATCACCAATTAAGGACCCAGTAATATGGGCAAACATATTTGATCAAATTAAAACCTTTTAAGTACCTTCAATGATATTCTATATACAGATATAAATCAGATGTCTCCTTGTCACTTCTATAATACATTTCAGACATCATGGGGTTTCCAAGATGTCATATATTGGGTGCAATTCTCCATTAGAAAGGACCAAGACCTTCTGTGGTACATTACATAACAGGACTATCCACATCAGTCAATGTCTCCAGGTTATTTAATAATCCAGTGTCCCCACTAAAGACATACACACTAGTCCCAGTTGGGGTTCTGACAGTTTCACGGTAGTTAAATACCATTTACAGGATTCCTCAGCCTGTGACTGTACAGTGAATGCAGAAGCAGCAGACTGATGAGCTCATTTCTCATGGTACTAGACTGACTGACAGTGTAATGGGGAACTTAATGGACAACCAATACAGGGGAGCACCACTGACCATCAATTTAAACGAAGTTTGCGGAATTCTTTTTTTTTCTTTAATTATACTAGGTGGATGCAAGCATCGATCAGACATCACTGATCGCTCAGTTCTCCCTGCCGCTCTGAGCAGAGAGCAAAGACTGTCAGTCTCCGGCTCTCTGCTCTGCCCCCCCCCCCCCCCCATCCCTCACTGGAGCACTGGGCTGTGGAGGGGGTGAGAGGGGCTGCCTCAGGTTCTCGGCAACTTGTTGAAAGGCTGAGCAGGTGCTGGTCCAGGCTCCTGAGTGGATTTGGATTGGCTGAGAAACATCAGACAACAGCAGTCTTTAGCCCACTGTGGGCTGAAAATGGGTCACAGGAGTACAGAATGACTGCACTCCTCTGATCCACAGGTGAAGTACTGCCAAACTAGCATTTGCTGCACTTTTCCTTTAAGTAACTTTCTCCATATACCACCAATGTGAGAAGATGCTACAATTTTCAAGGTGTGCATTTCATTTTGGCCACAATTGTCATTCCTTTAATTCATTATTCTTGGAAATAATTTGGTCATACAGAGCAGCCCCAGGTGTAAAATACACTAAGTACCCCACAATCCCTTTTATTCTTACACCTCAGCCTACTATTTAGGCTAGTGTACCATGAGCTGTGGTTATTGTAATTAACAGGAGGCCCCTGAGAATGGAAATTTATGCCAAGGGTTACTATGTGTTAAAAAGAGATTGTCTGGTCTAAATGATCACTATTTAGTTCAGTGAAACCAACTTCATGCGAACTAGGAGCCAGTGATGGGAATTTCTACTGATAAGTCAAACATTTCCCAAAAGCATTGTGCTACACAATTGTCCCAACCATTTTGTAGGATGCCATCACATCAAAACACAACTGAAAGTGATATATACTGTATATACATTTGTACATAAATTTACAGTGCTTCCCATTACTAACTGCATTTTGTTCGGAATTATTTGGTATTGATTGAATGCTGGATACCACGGTTTAGCTGATGCACATTTCCTCATTCCTGATGTGTTATGACATCTGTGATAAATTGGCTTTGTCAGTCCTTTGGCCAGCTTTTTTACTGTATGCTTATAAAAAGTATAAGCGTGTTTCTGTGGTGTGTCCAAAAAATATTAAAGGTTTTTTTTTGCTTCCTTCTCAACTGGAATTACTGGCTTCTGGGTTTGAAATGATTTGTCCACCCATGCTTTAAATGACCTGGAAATGTTGAAAATATTGAAAGAAGGCTTTGTAAAACTTAACTTTGAATTTATTTTATATAGTGTAATTTAGGGCCATTAATGTTGATATATGTAAATGTATTTTCTTTTGCACATTGTTTATGGAGGTTATATGAACAGCCTTCCTTTTCACTGTCTGAGCTGGACCACATCTGTCACTGGCTGGTCCAGTAGCTTAACTACCCCCCCTTCATTCATCTCCCGCATTAATTCCTTTATTGTGTGTTAGCTGTGTATGTAGATAGTGTCTGGCCATACTTACCCATTGTTCAATTTAGACCTTTACATGTCACACATTCTACCTCCAACACTTGTCTGTGTTAAGTTTTTTTCTGGGCTTATAATATGTAAACTTTTATAACATTTTAGGTTGCCAAAATGACATATACCAGGGGTACTTGGTAAAAAGTAATCCCAAAAAATCTACTTCACAGACAGCATTCTCTAAATGTTTTTAAACTATACAAAGTCCACTTTTTTTTTTTTTAACGTGATAAAATTACTGGAGTGTATTTTGGATTTTTTCTTTTTTAGAACCTTTTAAATGTTATTCTAAGGTCAGATAATAAATACAGAAACACTGTTAAATTTACCCCTAAGGGTACAAATATTCTGGTTAAAACCAGGTCCACCCAAAATGAGTATTACAATTTTTGGTTGGCACAAGGGGGTCGGATCACCTATTGTTGGGTGCGTATTTGAGACTACAGTTGTGCCATTTCCCTGCAGCAGCTATTTACTGCTCCCTCCCATGAGGGCATAACAAAAAAGTGTCTCAATAAAATTCCATGTTATTTAATGCTTTTTATTGTCTAAAACAAAACACCTGAAGCTTCAAAACACACGAGTCCCGGGTTCACGTATATGCGATGCGGGAAATGCAGCAAATCCTGAGCTTTTCAAGCACCACATTGAAATTGTACTCTGTTCCTGTAATCTGCAAAAATCGGATCGCATGGGTGTGAACCCATGCGACCAGATTCCAGGGTGGCAAAAAAAAAAAAAAATATACAAAAAGAAAATGCCTGCACCTTTTTCGTGCATCACATGCGATTTCCCACACCTCTATAGTACAAGCCCAGGCTAAAATTCTTGTAATACACTTTTAAAAGGCCAGTATACACTTACAAAACTCAAAGCCTGCTCAGGTGTGAATGCAGCTTTAGAGTAAAATTACAATGAAATATAAGTAATATATTTCCAGGTTAAGTTCATAAATATTTACAATAAGATACATCATAGGTCAACATTTGTGAATTTCTGACATACTAAAGCTGGCCATGGATGGAAATTCCCAGATGAACTGGCCAAATTTTGATCCATCTATGGACAGCTTTACTCCAAAACACAGGACGATTAAAATGTACTAATCCCCCTGCAGGAAAGAAAGTCTACTTTATAAAGGGAATATGCCAGCTAAACCAATGATCATTCATAGAGATAAATGTAGGACTCAAAAAAAAGTCAGTTTAAGCTAAACTCAGGGCAAACTGCGAAAAACAGCTGAAATACCAATATGGAAGCTGTTTTTTCCCCACAGGTAATGGAAGCCATTTTACCTGCCACTGAAGTGTATTTCTGTCCTTCCAGTCCTGAAATTGACACAACCCTGCTATATGGCACATCCAGCCTGATGTTTTTACTGTTCTCTGCTTCAGTTACACAATAAGAAAGTCACCTCCTCACCCTCACCCTGTGATTAGAAAATGAAGATGCAGCAGACTGAAAAAGTTATCTTTCTGCTCTCTTCTCCTGTCAGCACATGCAAATATGAAACAAGTAATGGCCCCACCCCTGAGAGCTACAGACTATAGGAGACTGAAATAATGTCAAATTTCAACTCAGTTATTTACACTAGATGCATTTAGGATAGGTTCATATTATAGCTGGTGCAGGGTGTGTGAACCTTACAGGTGTTCCTGCTTCCGCAGGCAAAACGCATT